TATTAGTGAAGGTTCAAAAGCCTCTGATGGGAAGATAAAAGAAGAAGAGAGGAAAATTGGCAAGTTGTTGGATACATGAATTTGGAACAAAAAGACATGCCATGGACATATAATTTGATTATTCGAAGTAATTAATTGCATCAACTGCTACTGCTATGTTAAGTGTTACAAAATCACGTGTGATAAGATCCTATGAAGCTAAAATGTATTTCAACTGCTACTGCTATGACTACTTTCTGAAGTACCTTGATATTCTAACGGCAATGGTAAATCTATGTTTCTTATTCTTTTCTAAAAAGAAATTCTGGAAAGTTGGGACATCCTGATATTCACACCAAGAATGATCTTGTTTCTGGAAAGACTCAAGTGGTTGAGCCATTTGTCTTAGGGAGTGAGACAGATGGATCATCTATTAAATCTGTGGAGACTAAGGATTCTGAAATTCAGGCTAGCAAGGAAATCGGGCAGGTGTCAAAAGTAGTTGTTGCTAAGCAAGTCAAAGGAGCTCTTCCTGAAGGTTTTTTTTATGACAAAGATTCTGATTTACTTGCACGAGGCATTACTCCTGTGAAACTGGATGTCAAGTAAGTTCCTTATATTGCTGTGGATTTTGATATTCTCATGTTAGTTTGTGGTTGATTATATGGTAACTTCATGAAAAGGAATGTGAATCATGTGATTCAGGTGACTTTAATTTTCTAACGCACACTGTATCCCCCTCCCCGCCCCCACCCACAGCCAAAAAAATCGTACTCCTTTCTCACTCACATTCATTAGTTTTTGTGAGTTTGGGAATTGTTTAAGAATCTTTGTATCTAGAAGAAATTTTCCATGAGCTGCAAAATGTTGTTTGAGTAGTTGATTGTGAGTCTTCAGTTGGTATTAAATTTTAACCTATTTTTAACATCTTGGCACCAAAAATTTGTTAGCTTTAGCTTTACCCTTATCAGCTACAGAAGGAACATTGATACTTTTCTTGTAATCCAATGTTTTGTCCTTGTATATGTCCCACCATTTTACTAACTTAATTTCTTGTAATGTGTGCACACAGGGATGAATATAAGGAGTTTGAAAAGTTAATCCAAGAGGATTTACAAGAGATAGACAACCGCTTGGAAGAAGAAGAGGCCAGATATTCTTTCCCAACTTCCATTGAATTAATCCAGGGGTTGTTCAGTAAGGAATTGTATTACTGACATTATTGCTGCCGCATTTTGCAGTTTGATGCAGCTAAGATGATAGTCGAGAATATGATGATCAGAGAAGCTGTTCACCAGAAGTTAATCATATTATTATTCCTCCTGGAAATGACTAATATTGTACATCAAACAAGCACTATATTTACCAATTCAACATTTTATTTTCAGCACTATATCGCGAAAATTAGAAGCTTTCGACGAGATTTCTTGATGACTAACATCATCAGCAGTAGGAAGGTGACTATCATCATCAGTAGTAGGAAGGTGACCTTATGCTAAACAGTGCCTATTTTACACCAACTGGGCGTGAAGCAGCAGCCAACTATGCTAGAGATATGCTCCTAAGGTCCTCAGTAAGGGCACATTACTCCTAAGGTCCTCAGTAAGGGGTAAGAGCACATTGCTCCTAAGGTCCTCAGTAACAGAGTGTCAAAGATATGCTAGAATTCAGGGCTCTATCACTGTCTATATACCATGGGGCTGCAGACCATCTATAGAATTAGCAGGGCTCTATCACTGACTCTTTCCCACACACAGCCTTCCCTACAATCCACTATACTATCATCATCATTCCACCCTCCCATTCTACACTGCAGATTATGAATTACCACATAACAAGAAAAGAAAAGAGGCACCACACATAAGAAATAAAAGAAATCCCACAAATTAGGGATAAAAACAAAAACCCAAATTTTGCCAAAATCGAAATTTTCTCCAAATCTCAAACTCACAATTCATACAGACAGTTACCCATTGCAAATACGTATACTCTACAGCAGTACAACCATTAGCAGATGAATATTTAATACCCATAGGCAACAGAAATTATAAAAAACTCACCTACCGACTTGCGGACTTTGTAGCTGTCGTCGATGAATGTTCGCTGCTGCTGGGCCTGGTTCTATGGACTGTGGTTCAAACTTCACACCAATCCACCACTAGCATCAACAGGGGACGTGTGTGTACGGTGTATGCAAGGGACAGTGTATGCGAGGGACGGTGTATTCTCGCGTTTTGTTTGTAGGTTGGAAGAATGGGAATTGGATTAGAATGGCTTCTAATGGGCCAACTAACATGGGCCACTTTTATGGCATTTGTGAGCACGCCGTAAATATTTCTACAGCAATTTTTTTACGGCGTGCACATGCACGCCGTAAATACTTCACACGGATTTTTTCCCCGGCGTGCACACACAAACGCCGTAAATACGTTATGGGGGGTGTGAAGTCATTTTTTACGGCATGCACAAATGAACGCCGTAAATACTTTTTACGGCGTGCAGTCTCTTTTTACGACGTGCATGTTATGCACTCCATAAATACTTTATGCAATTGATCTTTTACGGCACATATTTTTTGCATGCCGTAAAAAGAGACGCGTCAATTGCACGCCGTAAACGTATGCTGTAAAAAGTCATTTTTGTTGTAGTGGTTGGTCATCCCACTAAACCAAACTTTGCAGGAAGGTATTAGCACCACTCATCTTAGCAATAAGAAAATCCATTCACCTAGCAAGGAAAGTCCAACAATGTCGACTCATCTCAGCAATAAGGAAAGTCTAGCAATGATGATAGCAAATGCAAACCAACATGCAAGGAAAGTCCAGCAATGAAAATTGATTATATGTCATCCAAAATCTTCTACAAACCTCCAGGAAAATGCACAGAAGCATAATTAAGTCTAGGTACATTAGACTCAAATAAACTAAAGATATGAAGGGCATGATATCCAATAGATTTTGTGCAGTTTATGTGGCTTTGTTGTGTTCAAATATGATATCTTGTACAGCCTTGTGTTCACTGCTAAAAAATTCTAAGGGATTTTAGAATTGTTCGTGATGAAATGAAGAAAATAGGAAAGCTCCACCTCTTATTCAATTCGCCGAGGGGTGAAAAATTAAAGTATAAAAAGTTGAACTGACAAAATTCAAAATCATTCCCCTCTAATTATTTTTGCATGTTGACATTAAATATATTGGAATCCAATTTCTGACTGTTCTATGAAACTTATGGCAGCTTGAAGAGTTATGTTACGTATTGAATTAATTATGGTAAACATGGATTCTACGTCAACTGCAAAGGGTCCATCGCATGCTCAAGTGTCTTTGAACCTTTGTGTCTCTACTGTTAAGGCACAGTTGAGCTAAAGATACTTTAGCCTCTAAGGTTACCCTTAGCAAAGGAGTATGCATAACCCTAACACTTGGCTAGAAACGTGATTGGAGACCTTGACTGACAACAAGACTAAAGGCCTCGATTTGGCCTCGGACATGGACGATAACCTTTGTGTGAATTCTGACAGAATAAGCTTGAAATTTAATTAGTCTACTAAAATATGCGTACACACGATAAATTACTAGACAAATTTACATGGTACAAAATTCAACAAGATATGGAAATAGGACTTAATCATGACTTCAAACATAATGAATGTACCTGGTACTGAGTAAGTTTTCCAACTATGTATCTTGAGGTGAGTCACGTCTCATTTCGTGAATGATTGGACATTGACTTAGAATTATAGATTATGCAAGACCAATACTCAAGCGATTCATTGTTGGCCAATGGATTCAGGCGACAATGTTCCTTTCGCACATAATAACATAAAGGATTCAAAGTATCATCCCATCGATGACACTTCAAACCACAGCTTCAGTACGTGCATATTATTGTGTACGTTGAGCTTGACCTTCAATACACGAATCAGTTCATCCAATTTTAAACCGGTTGGAACAAGAATTGATGTCGTCAATCCTTGCCACTTCCATTCACAATTCACGTTTTCGTTAATCTCTAACGTAGAGCAATACAAATACACATTTTGAAGCTATGGCCATACCGAAAACACGAGGAAAGTAATAGTATTTAGTCACCAATAAATAGGGATGGCAATTCGAACTGTTAAAA